AGCAATAGCTCACAAATCTACAGCTACACTCTGCCAGGAATTACCCAGGACCAAAGACAAGACACAGAAGGATGAAAGAAACAATGTAATCTACAAAATCAACTCTAACGACTGCAACCAATTCTACATGGGACAAACAACATGTCAATTAAAAACCAGGATTCATGAACACCAGCTGACAGTCAAACACCAGATCCCAAAACCTTAATCTCTAACCACACCGACACCAAACAACACTAGTCTGATTGGAGCAACACTAAAATCATCGGCCACGCTACTACCCGTGTGAGTTCATCAAAGCCTGGCCCTCCACAAGCAATTCTATCAACAGACACATTGACCTACAACCAGCCTACAAACCCCTCAGAATCCAAATCAACCACCCAGCCAGCCAGAGACAGCACTGACCCTCAACCAACCCATACAAGTCCCCTCCCCCACACCAGCAGTTCACCTTCCGGTGACCCTGACCTGATGTAACCTCTCCATCACAAGACCCATCCCAAGCCTCTCACTGATGACTCACACCTGACCCACCACAAGACCCTCACTTGACATAACCTGAAGCCCATATAAACAGAAGCATCCCCTGAACTCTGCTGAAGATGTTACCTAGGCTGTTAATGAAACATTTGGAAACCAACCCACAAGCTTAGAGAACGAACCTTCACCTCAATTAGAACTACACTTTACAATGGGTTATAATAATGGAATCTTACAAGCCTGACTGGGTTTTATCTCCCCTCCTCCTTATGCCCCAGTGACTCAGGAAGGAGCCTGTCTGTGTCACTGCCAAATGCTATCTTGTTTGCCAGGGCTTAAAGAATACTTCTGCCCTTTTTGCTTATGGAATAGTTTTTGCATTTCTACCAAGGGTATCTCCCTTATTTTCTATAAGTGGTCCTTGCCTCGCCACTCATTCAGTGATTATTTGAATTTACAGCAGTATTGAATGAGTGGTACTTATGATCCGTCCTTGTACTTATATCGATTGCAGTGTCTCTGCGGTCACTAGTTCTTTACTGTCTTCCTACAAGTAAAGTCATTGGGGAAGTTAGCAGGAAGTTGCAAATAGCAAGCACACGATGTCCTCGTTTAATAATACATGGTGATTCACTTACAACAATAACCAAAAGTGCTGGAATTTCCAATGCTAAGCAACACAGTCACATGACATCATGTTTTACAGTTGTATTGCATAGCCACAGAAATTCTGGTCCCAATTATAGTCATTAAGCGAGGACTACGTGTACAAAATGGCTAATCCAGACAATGAAAGTCTCTTTCCCATATGGCTATTGCTATATTCATAGTTTTGCAAGAAGTGTGCATCTCACTACAGTCAGTAAACCAGCTACAGAAGTCAAATGCTCATAGATCCTCTCATTGTGAAATGCAATATTCTAATTGGTCAACATTTCAGTTCATTATTCTTAAAGATTTATCCACAAAGCAGGTTCCCCTGCTGCTAATATAGCAGTAGCACTTAGACTTATATACTGTTTCATAGTGCTTTACAGCACTCTCTAAGTGATTTACAGAATCAGCATATTGCCCCCAACAATCTGAGTCCTCATTATATTGACCTTGGAAGGCTGAGTCAACCTTGAGCCCTTTAGGATTGAACTCCTAGCAATGAGCAGACTCAGCCTGCAATACTGCATTCTAACCACTGTGCCACCAGGACTTTTAATCCAGTAATCCAGAAGTACTCTGTTTGTCTCACACAATCTGTTAAATCATGATATGGTTTGCTTGGCTTTACCTTAATATCTATGTAGCTGCAACCATTGGATTATAAGCATGATAGCTTGGGAAGTCTGGCTGCTGAAAACCATACATCTTAGAGTTGCCAAGACTGATATACATTGTAGTAGAGCAGGGGTGTCAAACTGCCAGCCTGCGGGCCCGATGCATCATAGCGAAACCGCGGCCATCCCATTGCTGGCAATGGCAAAAAAGTCACGATACGTCATGACACTTCACGTGATGTTGCAAGTTTGGCACCCCTGTACTAGAGGAAGGCTGTCTGGTCTTTTCAGACAAAGAAACTTCCTCTATAAGGAGAGTGTAGAAATTAGAAAATTACACCATTGCTTCACTAATATTTTAGTTCTATGACATCTGTTTCAAAATGTTTCACCCTCATTAATTTTGCTAAAAACTCACCTGCTTGAATAATTTTCAAGCAGGGTCTTCTAACAGTATATCACTTCAGCTGCAAAGTTTAAAAAGTCAACTTCATGACTTTCTAACAATGTTAAGAAATTAGCATATGCAAGAACTCCCACCTGGATCTCCCTCAGGTTGACATAACTGAGTGTTTTAATAAACTATGCTCTGCTTTGAATAGGTTCCCCCCCCCATATTTTCTTCATTCTTAGGTCTTTAGGGGAAAAAAACCCTTACATTAAGAGGTCTAGATATAGCAAATCAATGCTCCATTTAAAATTGCCAGTACTTTATTCTGAAATGGGATAAGATATAAGGATTGGAATGGCACAGATCTCAATGCTTTTGCTCATATGGAGCGGGATTTCAATGGTCATATTGTTCAGTCAGCTACTGGTAATTAAGGAAATGGAAATCTAACTCATTTGGCGCATATGGGGACTATCACTAGGTAGAAGAGAAATGAAAAAGTAACCAATTTTAATTTGGAACCTGGACTCAGATCAACTCTTGTTTGTGGATGAAAAAACAGTAATGAACTAAATCTGCTGTGTAGTAAAGGAAGCTCTTTGCTTCAGTAATTTTATTTTCTTAACTGAATGAAAATGTTACAAAATGGCCTAAATTGAAATGGCTACTTATATGAGAAAATTGATACTGGGTTCAGATTTTCTTCTCTGGATCAGTTGAGTGCCTTCCATTTGTCCAGCTTTTGCTGACCCCGAGGGCGTTTTCACGTGGCTGCCATCGTTCATTTCCCCAACCCTCGGAAGAAGTTGGAAGAGATGACTTGTGATTTCTTCTTTTCTCCTGGCTTGTTGAAAACAAAGAGGAAAATCACTGCTGTGTCCAGAACTGCTGCAGATGCTGTTGCAACAAAAATTTCTCTTACTTCTGCTTCATTCAGAAGGAAAGGAAAGAGGAAAGGAGGAAAGGAGAGAGAGGGGAAAAAAACCCTGTGTGCTTCTTTGAACACCTACCCAACTCCTGGAAAAAAAGAGGGAAACTGGCAATCCATTTGTCAATTTTACCATTCTTCATTTTTTATGGGCTACAGAATAGGACATCACCAGATGGCAGGAAAAATCAGAGAGCTTCAGTAAGAATGGGATTGGTCTGACTGTAGGACTTCATCTATCATCTCTAGCCTATTTCTTGTGTTCCTTCTCCTGCACCCCATTCTGTCATAACCTGATAAAAACATACATCTGACTGATATCAGAAAGCAGTGGTTCTCAACCTGTGGGTCGGGACCCCATTTGGGGTCGAACGATCATTTCACGGGGGTCGCCAAACAACACAGTCCGCCATTTTTTCCCCCTTTTCCTTAGCTGTGCTACTCCCTTTTATTCTATTGGCTTTTGAAAGCCAATAGAATAGACTCTCTTGAATAGAGTCTAATTCTATTGGCTTTCAAAAGCCAATAGGAATTGTCCAGGCTGTCTCTGCCCTGCTGAGCCCGCCAAAAGTCCCATTCTGCAAACAGTGCTGCACCAGTTGAGTAGTCCTCGACTTACGACCGGTTGAGTAGTCCTTGACTAATGACCGGTTGGGGGTCGCAGCATTAAAAAGGTTGAGAACCACTGTCATAAAGGGAACTAAATCATAAGAAACACTTTTATGAAGGAATTTTGACCCCCTTCCTTCTGTTTATATGCCATAAAGAATCTCCCTGCTTCATGCAGGAGACGAGAGGATGGGTTGAGCTCTTGTTAGTCCACCATTTCAGCCTTGCATTAAACCAATAAGGACCATAAAGTACAGGGATATGCCTTACTGCCAATTGATCAGGCTAGCAGCACAATTGTGCAAATCTGAGAAACCCAGCATAGCCATGCTTTTGCATTTCTCTAGGGCGACAAAAACAGAACGAGCCACTCTCAATCCCCTGGAATAATAGATGTGTAATAGATGTTACATAACTTACAGGTAGGTGCTGTTGTCTTTTGTCAGCTCAAGCAGGGGGCAGTATTGCTTTAATACCTGTATGCAGTGGTGGGATTCAGCCAGTTCACATCACTTCGGCAGAACTGGTAGCTAATTTTTTGTTGCCCAGGTCCAGAATGGACTTCCAGAAGCGGCATCCACACAGAGAACCGGTTGTTCACATATTTGAATCCCACCACTACCTGTATGGCTATATTGTAGACATTTGAAAGCTGTCTCACTCATGGCTGCAGATGGGATGAAGATAACCACTTCAGGACATGTCAGAAAAATAGGTTGCCACAGATGTTTGTGCTCCTGTATGGTTAAGTGCAAGTGAGGAAAGACCTCAAATGTAAAAAAAGTGTGTCATTGGTAATGATATATGTCATTTGCATAATTACATCATCACACAAAGAACCCAAATAACACCATTCATGTCAGTTTGTCACTTAAGTCAATTCATGACATTATTACTCAATACCAAATGGTATATGTTTATGTTAGGTTAACATTATATTTAAGGGCCCTTTAATTTGGTTCAAATGAAACAGATCGGGAGGGGGGGGGGGAGGATATCCAAGGGAAGTGTTTACTGCATTTTCAGTCTGTTAAATGGGGCTCTGTTAAGGTGAGAGGCTACTCTATTATTTTAGTTTGGAGTAATTAAATGATATTTTTGAGATTCATAAGAACTGTGCAGAAATGTGTCAGTAAGGTTCTTGTGCAGGAGAACATGCCTACCTCCTGGTATCATGTAGACAAATACTAGCTTTCTCCAGAGGAGAAGTAATCTGAAATAATAATAATCCATAATCATTTATGGATAATGTAGAAATATTTCCATCTATTGTTCAACTGTAATATTTCTGATTGTGTCTTCTTTCTTTTTCCCTATTTAGGATATTTGTGGCAGGCATTGGATTTTTCACTCTCTGCTTCTTAATGACATCCCTGGGAGGTCAGTTTTCAGCCAAAAGACTGGGAGACTCTCCATTCACCATTAGGACAGAAGGTAATTACCACAACTCATTTTAATTAGAGGTTTCCGGTTTGACAATCTGGAGAATTAACTTCCTTTAATAATTTTGGGAAATATGGCTGATGAAGAGAAAAATATGGTTGCCACTGAGCACCAAGAAATGCTGTCGGAAGCAAGTAGAGGTGGGTTTCATCAACGTGTGGTACACTATATGGTCAGCTATATACTTAATTGCTCCTAACCTCAAGCGGGTCCTAAAAAAATCCAAGGAACAGTGTAGGAGCTACCTATGTTGGATCAAACAAAGGGCAGCTCCAGCCTTTGGTTTCCATAAAAGCTAACCAAATAGTTCTGGGAAGTTCATTGTTAGGGCATGTTCACAATTCTACCCCAACAATATTAAGAGTTATGCTGCTCTGATACTTGGAATAATACATATCCATCCTGACTTAACTACCACGAATTTTCCTAATTCATTTGCAGAAATTACCAAACTAGTATCATCCCTAAATCTTGTAAGGGTAAATTCCATGTTTAAATTATGTATGGCATGAAAAAGTTCTTTTTCAATCTACATTTCTCACCTCTTAGCTGTACCGCATGATCGGCTCTATTAATGTTTGTTTGTAAAGGACAAAAAAAAAACCCTTCTCCGTGTAAAACATGATCTTATATATCACAATAAATATTCCCCTTTGAACTTTCATATCAGGTTCCAGATAGGAGCTATGGGAAATTTTTAGTAGGACTAGATGGTGTTCAGAGTGAAGAAGCAGGATTATAAAACATATCTTCAAATGGAATTGAATGGTAGGTTTAAAGTAGCCACATCAACCAAGATTATACCAGCAATTCCCAATCTGTGATCTGAGGTTCACTGGTGGTCCATGAGGACACTGAAGGGGATCCCTGTGATGGAAGCTGAAATATATATATTTAGATCAGTGGTTCTCAACCTGTGGGTCGGGACCCCATTTGGGGTCGAACGACCATTTCATGGGGGTCGCCAAACAACACAGTCCGCCATTTTTCCCCCCTTTTCCTTAGCTGTGCTACTCCCTTTTATTCTATTGGCTTTTGAAAGCCAATAGAATAGACTCTCTTGAATAGAGTCTAATTCTATTGGCTTTCAAAAGCCAATAGGAATTGTCCAGGCTGTCTCTGCCCTGCTGAGCCCGCCAAAAGTTCCATTCTACAAACGGTGCTGCACCAGTTGAGTAGTCCTTGACTTACGACCGGTTGAGTAGTCCTCGACTTATGACCGGTTGGGGGTCGCGGCATTAAAAAGGTTGAGAACCACTGATTTAGATGGTAAAAATCTGATCCAATCTTGCACGATTTTGTTATTGTCACTTCTAGCTTCTTAAGAACTTTTGGTTGATGTTGAATTTATATCTCATCTTTCCTCAAGGCACATCGATAGCACTCTTTTTCTGAGTTTTCCCCACAGCAAAAACTCTGTGAAATCAATTGAATGAGAGGGAGGGACTGACTTAAAATAATTTAGTGAACCCGAATCTCCCCATTTCTTCTTCAACATTTTAACAATACTTTTCATAGAAATACCAAAATCTTATACGATTTTGAACAGGATTTCCTCCGCTGAAAGAAAATAAATGTTGATGGCATAATGATGTGCATAAGGGAATAGTTTGGGCACCTTTGATCTAAGCCAAGTCAAAATTTAAATAGGCCAATGTTACTATTTAATGTGTTGTACTATTTAATGTACTAAATTCTTCATGGGCTGGCTCTGTCCTGTCTCAGACCACATATGTGCAACCTTTACTGAGAAGCTTATGAAGCAAATAAACAAGCAGCAAAGGGAATGTGAATAGAAAATACAAATGCATAGAAATCCACACAAAATCAAGTCCCCCAAAGTCCAGCAAGTTTGCTTTGAGAGACTTCCAACTCCTAAACAGCAGGCAAAAGAGGGGTGAAGAGAAGTCCAAGAGTCTAAACATTGTAGAAGGGTCATCAGCAGGCACAGAGTCAAAGTCATGAGGTTTCAAATTGGGAGTCAAGGCATTGGATAAAGTGACCAATTGTTGCCAATGGAGAGGCTCTTATTTAATAGAAGCAACCCCAATGGTATTTCTTTGGAAGTCTTTGCTCTACTCTACTCTGCACATGGCAAGCCCTTGAACCAGGGAGCGGTGGCAGCTGGGACTCCTCAACTCAGTCTGGCAGTGGCAGCGGTGTCCCCTGGTTCGTGAGCAGCACAGCCCCCTCTGCCTGCACCTGCTCAGGCAGGGGTTTGTCTGGCAATTCTGAAATTGACTGACATTGTTGGTCTTCTGGTTAGAATCCAAAGTGGCCATGACAGACCCTGGCAGAGCTTCCTGTACTGTTATGCTTTGCTTAAATCAAAGGAGAAGAAGTGATTATGTTGCGTTTGTTGGCTTTCACTGTTTCCTTCTCTGCAGATTTTATCATGGATCTGAACTTCCGGACAGGATTTTATTAGACCTCAATATATTCTATGTTGTATAGCCTCAGCCTTAAAATTCTTGACCTTATTTTATTCAGGATGATAGTTCCTGATGTTTAAGATCAGGATCATTTAAGTTTTGTGAGGCAGATCAAACTGAACTCAAGGGAATATTTTACTGTATAAACATGATTATAATTCTTTTCAACATGTTATTAATATTTTTATTAATAATTAAATGTGATTCTTATTTCACCTTCATTACTTTCTAAATAACTCAAGGCAGCAAACATACCTAATAGTCCTTCCTTCTCCTATTTTGCCCACAACAACAATTTTATGAGATGGGTTAAGCCAGGCATGTCAAACCCGTGATGTCACGTGACGTCACGCAACATATCGTGACTTTTCCCCCATTGCCGGCACTGGGGTGGGTGCACTTTCGGCATGACACATCTAGCCCGCGGATCGGCAGTTTGACATGCCTGGGTTAAGCTGAGAGAAAATAACTGGGCCAGAGTCACCCAGCTGGCTCTCATATTTAAGGCAGGACTAGAACTCACAATTTCCTGGTTTCTAGATTAACCCCCTAACCATTACACCAAACTGGTTCTCTACATTATGATGAATTATTATTAATAAATGAATGCTATGGAAAAGCAAGTTCAAAAAAGTTAAAAATAAACTAGAAATGAATGAAATAGCTTCCATAAAACAGCCTCATTCATAAAGTCATGGTAATTCATTGTTTAGAATGAATATTCTAAACCATTATTCTAAATATTCTGGACCTTATTTCTCCATTATAGCATACTCTTTCTAACAGTGGGTAAATAAAGATACAGTTTCTTTTCATCCCTCTTTATTTCTTGCTTTTTTCATTGACAGGTAACTAACTAATTTCTCAATCTCTAGTCTTGTAAATAAAGTGGGTTTATTTCATTCTGAAATGGAAGTTTCATATCAGTGTTAAACAGGGACTGTGTTCCAATCTTATCCAGTTGGATTAAACTATGACCTTGACTTGATTGGTTGTCTTCAGCATTGTAAGTTAGTCACGAGAAAAAAAAGAGATAAAAGCTATCTAAGTACTTGCAGGAACTCATCACAGAGTTAATTCACTTTCACTTATATCAGCTTGGGACAATGAGATCATCACCATCACAACTGGATTTAATGAATTCCACAACAATTTTGTAGCAAGGCTATATCTTCCAAAGCTCTCTCTCAAAGTGCAGGGAGTATCTGCCTGCCTGGTACCTTTTTAATCATGAGTAGTAAATCTAATTCTTGACCAGATAACTTCCACATATCAGGTCATTATTCTAGCTTTCTAACTTCTTGATGCCATTGATAAATAAGTTGGGAAGGAATTCATAATTTCCTATTACAGGTAATCCTCGAATTTCATCCACAGTTGGGACTGCAATTTCAGTGATAAGTGGTATGGCTATTAAACAAATTATCATGTGACCAGACCAAATTTTACAAGCATTTTACTGTGGTCATTGATTAAATCACTGCAATCATTAAGTGAATCAAGCAGTCAAGTGAATCCCAGTTTCCCCTATTGACTTTGCATGTTGGAAGTCAGCTGAGAAGGTCTCAAATCATGATCACATGGCCAGAGGATCAATTTGATATGAAGGTTATCACTTTAAGGACAGGTCGTAAGTCACTTTTTTAAGTACCATCATAACTTCAAATTGTCTGTCAGACCTGCCCCAGTTTGCTCTCTCAGGAAAGTATGATTTGTGACTCCATTTAGTTGAAGCAAAGGAGCTTTTACTGAAAGAAATTGGTTGCAATAAAGTCAGGAGGAATCTGGTGTTCCCACGCAAAATACAAAGCTATTCTTTCCAACTCCTAATCCCTCCCCCCAATGACCATTCCCCCGACCAGCCAATATGATACGGGTATGATGTTTTGAGAAACTCTGAGGTGCGAAACTGGTAACATTCCATTCTCAGGGCAAACAGCCTTGAAGATCCTGGTACAAGCTGGTTTGGTGATCTGGTCTTCTTCCATTGTCACTTCCCCCTCCCATTTCCCACCATTAGATACACAGGTGTGGGTTGCCCCAAATGCCTCCCCCTTCCCTTCCCCTTTGATGGCAGAAACCCAGCAAGGTGCCAGGCCAAACGATGGAGATCTTGACACTGTCATTAAATGAATGTTCATAAGTCAAGGACTATCTGTACCTCTTATGTATCATATTGTCAGGTCCAAATCCAAAGACAACAGTGAAATCCAATCAAGTCCAATCCTTTATTTGCCAATCTTGCCAAGCTAAAGCTGTAACCTTCCCACCTACTAGATATATCCTAAGAGATTTTAGAATGTGGCTATCCAGTACCGCTTCCTCCCTTCCCCATTTAGCTGGGGACTGTGCAGTCTCTTCATTTGGACCTCTCTCTGGGAAAGCTCTGTGTTACCAAAACTCTTCCTCATTCTTCCTGCAGATGCCCATTCCATCACACACAGCTCTTTTTAGAGCAGTGTTTCCCAACCTTGATAGCTTTGAGATGTGCGGACTTAAACACTGTATTAGAGAATTAGCAAAAAATATGCTCTCCGCTTGCTAATGACAACCTTCTAC